AATTAATATATATAATAAAATCATAATAGAATAATATATATATTATAACAAAATTATAATATGTAATTACATGAAATACAATATATATATATATACTAAAAATATAGTATTATATATATTATTGTAAAATATACTAAAAATATACTAAAACATACTAAAAATATAGTATTTTATATATAATTATTATATATTATAATAAAATTATAATATGTAGAATAACATATATATTATAACAAAATTATAATATATAATTGCATGAAATACAAAATATATATATATAATACTAAAAATATAGTATTTTATATATAATTAATATATATAATAAAATCATAATATGTAGAATAATATATATATTATAATAAAATTATAATATATATATACACTATATATATATGTGTGTATATATATATACACTAAAAATATACTAAAAATATAGTATTTTATAATTATTATATATTATAATAAAATTATAATATGTAGAATAATATATATATTATAACAAAACTATAATCGCTTTACCACTCGGTGGGCGTTGATCGACGAACAAACGTCCGGCTGATATCGCGTACGATTGTAACTCGATATGCTCGGCAGCGGTGACTATAGCTTTCTAAATCGAAATTCTTTTTTTTTTTTATTTTTCTTTAGAGCGCAATAAAAGCAGATTTAGCAATGCTTGCGGGATACACACGCACGATAAGTAAACATGCTCGTGCATTTGGGCAGTTTCGAATGAAAATGATCGGATCATTTGGATTTGGTTTTCAAATTTGGAATGCTTTTGTCACCATTCGTCACACCGTTCAAGTGTTTCTTACCTGATGCTTGCTTGTTCAATTTTTATGTGTCGTCGAATTAGGGAAAATGCTCGCGAGAGCTCCGCCTGTACAAGGTACGTTCAGCATGAGCCGTGATTCATTTATTTATATATGAAACTGTTCAGCGGAAACGAACGTGGCAAGAAATGATTGATAAAGTGACCGAATATAAAGGTACCGGTCTAATATTGTCCCCCGATTCCGGGAATAAGCGTGTTCCATATTAAATGTCCTCTTTTCTTTGTTCTCTCTCTCTCTCTCTCTCTCTTGATGTTGAATGGCTCTCGATATACATATGTACTGTTTACGGATAGCGTTTACCTAAAATTAACGCAAGAGCACGGTGACAAACGAGGTAAGGCAATTAAATTTGTCCACAGATCGATTAAAATCGAATCGGGCGCAAAGATAATAAGTTTCCCCGAATCGAGTTCGAATCGCAACAGCGTTATTCGATTGTCATTGTCAAGACAAACAACGGATATCGTATATCCGCAATATGTTTTCAATATTGTGTATCTTCAATAATTATATATACACAATATATGATTATCTGCTTATTTTGAAAGTGACGTAAGCCACTTGTTTTTCAGAGAATAAAATCAAGTTAGCGATCAGATTGATTACAATTCTACGCGATCCCTTCGTTTTAAAGCAGTCGACGTGCAAAACAATTTGCCGAAATAACTGAGAGTTTGTAAAATTTGCGAAACCGTGTAGAAGTTGGGTTTAAGCAACGAAATTCGATTTAAAAGCAAAGGTGACTTTCAAAATAAGTTATAATGGTACATTTTCACGCAACATTAAAAGTCACTCTTTCGCAATTTTGTTGTTGTTTTTGTTGTTACTTGTCTAATTACTTTCAATTGAATTGACTGCAGTAGTCTATCAATCAAATCAGAACATTATAGACAACTAGACAGTGTTAAAAAATGCACTATTCAATGATAAAAGATTAAAGATTTTAATTAAAATATTATATATAATATTACAAGTTAACTACAGTACATTTTTTCTCAATAAAGTATCAAAATAAGAAAAAAACCAATTTTATTGATTTCAAATTAAATTCAAGTTCAGACATGAACTTAAATTAGTGTACTTTAATCTGTAACAAGAAAAATTTTTTTTTAAATATATAATGAAAAAAATTACAGATTTATTTTAGCAGGAAGTGATCTTTGGTACACTTTAGTTTAGCCCACACTATATTAAAACTCATATCTAGACAATATTAAACTAGACAATATTAAAAAATGTACTATTCAATGATTAAAGATTAAAGATTATAATTAAAACATTATATATATTATTACAAGTTAACTACAGTACATTTTTTCTCAATAAAGTATCAAAATAAGAAAAAAACCAATTTTATTGATTTCAAATTAAATTCAAGTTCAGACATGAACTTAAATTAGTGTACTTTAATCTGTAACAAGAAAAATTTTTTTTTAAATATATAATGAAAAAAATTACAGATTTATTTTAGCAGGAAGTGATCTTTGGTACACTTTAGTTTAGCCCACACTATATTAAAACTCATATCTAGACAATATTAAACTAGACAATATTAAAAAATGTACTATTCAATGATTAAAGATTAAAGATTATAATTAAAACATTATATATAATATTACAAGTTAACTACAGTACATTTTTTCTCAATAAAGCATCAAAATAAAAAAAAAACCAATTTTATTGATTTCAAATTAAATTCAACTTCAGACATGAACTTAAATTAGTGTACTTTAATCTGTAAAAGGAAAAAATTTTTTTTAAATATATAATGAAAAAATTACAGATTTATTTTAGCAGGAAGTGATCTTTGGTACACTCCAGTTTAGCCCACGCTATATTAAAACCCATACCTTGCGTAAATCTGGCGTGGCCAGTTTAACGCGTGTTGACTACAATGAAACCAATAATAATAAACAATGAAATTGATCTCGAAGAATATTTGAAACTCGTTGTCACGTGAAAATATACCTACAACATATATACATATATAATGCTATCTGCTGTACTGAGTCTTGCAGGTGATCGCCGGGTTTGATAGCGAAACCGACTCGAAAGGATCGAAATGTAAACGAACGGTGTGATTGTAGGAGCAGCTGCGGAAACGAAAGGACGAGGAGGAGAGACAGGAGATACTCAATCGGTCGTTGCGCGACTCGACCAAGTTGCACGCGTTGGAGAGCCACGCGACCAGTCTCTCGGGTCAGGAAAATCTCGCGTACTCCCAAGACGAGGTGACCACCACCGTGGTCGGCCGTGGGACGCACGTAACCGCGAGCCCAGCGCAAGAAGTCGAGGAGCCTCCCAGGCCCCTCAGTAAGTCGTATTTTCCCTCGAGATATACACGTCTGTTCCAAGTGCGCCACTTCACTCGATGGCCGCACTAACGACACTCGTCGTGGCCCATTAGGCCTCTACTTATGCTCCGATAATTCCTCCTCGGTCCCCCCCCCTCCCCCTTTTCGATCCAAAACCTAGTCTTCAGACTCCGTCAAGATTCTATTCCCGCGTCGTCGTATTTGCATTCACCTTTTTTCTTTACTCTCTCCCGTCGATTCGATCGGCTTGCGACGGTGTTAGTTGTCATCAATGGATTTATACTTGACCTAACCTATACGACAACCTACACTGACATTCTCGTTCTATATTTTCCTATTTTTAACTCTTAATCGATATTTTCGTGTAAATTATACATTATACATTATATATATATATATATTATATAGTATAATATAGAATATTCTATAATATTATACCCTATGTTATACTATAGAATAGAATATTCTATATATTATATTATACTATATTATTATACTACAGAATATTCTACATTATACTATAGATTATATACTATATACTATATATTCTATAGTATAATATAGAATATTCTATAATATACTCTATTATACCCTATGTTATACTATAGGATAGAATATTCTATATATTATATTATACTATATTATTATACTACAGAATATTCTACATTATACTATAGATTATATACTATATACTATATATTCTATAGTATAATATAGAATATTCTATAATATACTCTATTATACCCTATGTTATACTATAGGATAGAATATTCTATATATTATATTATACTATATTATTATACTACAGAATATTCTACATTATACTATAGATTATATACTATATACTATATATTCTATAGTATAATATAGAATATTCTATAATATACTCTATTATACCCTATGTTATACTATAGGATAGAATATTCTATATATTATATTATACTATTATTATATTATTATACAATAGAATATTCTACATTATACTATAGACTATTCTATATTATACTACAGAATACTACATTATACTATAGATTATATACTATATACTATATATATTTTATAATATAATGTAGAATATTCTACAGTATAATATAGAATATTCTATAGTATAATATTAGTATAAACCTAATACAGCATTCTATAGAATATTGTATAGTATAATAATATAATATATAGAATAGAATACAGAATATTCTATTCTATAGTATGATACAGAATATAATAGAGTATATTATAGAATATAATATATATATGTATATTGATCAGCGTGGAGAATTTCGAGTATTGACATAAGTTAGAGCAAGAAATTGGAAGAAAGATGCGTCTTTCTCATACCGAAGGAATAACTGAACGGTACAAAGCAACGCTGCCCCCCACGGCCTGAAACTTTTGAAGAATCCTTCTAACAGGCATATTGTTGCATATTTCAGCGTACGGAGAGGTCGTCGCAACACTGGAGAGGCTGCAGCTACAGTTGCGCAACATTTCCGGCGCTCTGGGCATCTCTGGACCCGGCGTAGAAGCTGAACTCGAAGCGGTGCGGACGCTTTTGGTCCAGACTCGATTCGCGTCTGCCCTGGCCACCCATCACGCCCTCAGGAACCGCTTGAAACCGAACAAAGTTCTCAAGCATCATGCCGAGGATGCTTCCAGCTTGTCCCGCGACGTACGTGCTCTGTATTCTTTTAAACAAATTCGTTCGATGCTAGTCTAGACTATCACAGGAGGGAAACGTTGTAAGGATGACAATGAAAAAATTCTATTTTGTAGTTTCACAGTTTGACGAACTTTTGTACGAACGAAGGCGAAGACTTTCCAATTGTAGAAATGTAGAAATGTTGCTTTACTATGTTATACTGACTGTGGATCCTTTCTACCTCGTTTATATATCCTTTTCAGATTCGTACTTTGGTTTTTGGCCAAAGTACCTTAGGATGACTCATACGGGTTAAGCAATAGTGAAACAGGAATAGTAGATCAGCGTAGGATATAAATTTTGTAAAATACGAGTGCGCAGTGTTCATATTTCACAGAAATTGGTGACAAATTTGCTTCACGTCGCGGACAAAAGGATACTCGTGGAATACAATACAGAGAAGAAGATATGCCATTTTTCTGGCCTTACAACAGATTATACATTGTACTATTTTACATTATACTTATACATATGTATGTACACATTACAATATATATATATATTTATATATATATATATATAAATGTGTATGTATACATTATAGTATGTATATATATTACATTATAATTAATCCTCACGCTATTCCATCACGTATGACTAGTCGCTATGATTGAGTGTATGCACTCAACCAGGAAAGCCATCTGCTAATAAGTTGTCTTTATTTGTCTTCTGATTCTGATAATACTTCGTGATTGATCGAAGAGAATTTTAACGCGACACAATTGAAAATCAAACACACACACACACACAAAAAAAGGAAAACTTTCGATATCATATTTAAAAGAATTTTTATCTCGGTCTTCGTGATCTTCTCTATTTGAATATCACGCACGATTCAGATCTAAAACCAAATGGAAAGACTCGTCTATTATAGCTACTTCTTACTGCATTATAGTTATATCTTCAATTGTTTCTCCTGCAATTGAGTAACGTTCAAATGTTTTAGTGTGTAGAGATCCTGGAGAAATGGCAGTCGTCATCAACAGCAACAGGTGTTGGCGGCGCGGAAACGATGGCCGCGGTGGAGGAGCTGACCGGTATTTTGACGAACTACGACATGGAGGCACTTCTACTCGCCCACGACTCGATCATCTCTTACGTCGACGGGCTGCAAAGGAAACAGAGTCCGTCGTCGTCGTCGCCAAGCGGCCCTCCGAGCCCTGCCTCCAGCTGGAGGGGCTCTCGGGTCGTAGATAACATTAAAATTATCAGAATCGAGAAGACTAACGAACCCCTGGGTGCTACGGTTAGGAACGAGGGTGACGCCGTTATAATAGGTACATTTCATTCGTTCCATTGACAATTGAAAAAAGCTGAAGTTAAGCCGAGTCGTGTTAAGGCCAACTAACCTCGATTATGTTTGTGGAGGTCGTGTGGTGCGTGGAGGGGCGGCAGACAAGTCTGGACTCCTGCACGAAGGTGACGAAGTTCTGGAGGTGAACGGTGTGGAGATGCGTGGCAAGAGCGTGAACGAGGTGTGTGATATTCTGGCCGGTATGCAGGGTAGTCTGACCTTCCTCGTGCTCCCAGCACCCATGAATCACAGGAATAATTTGTCCAACCGAAGAGAAGACACCAATCAGGTACTGACAATGAAAATAAGTAGTAAAATACTTGTATTTTATTCGTTCATTGAATTAAATATTACCAAATACTAGCAGTAAAAATCCTGTATTGTAAGTTAATTACAATTACAACCCAGTGTAAGTTAATTAAAAAGCCCATTGTATGTAATTACAAATATAACTCTTTGACATACCAATGACGTCTGTGAGACATTGGCAGGTTAATACGTATATAAGGATATGAAAGAATATTTTTCTACATGCCTGATATGGCAAGAGTACAAAAATTTATCTGTTAAGTTTACACGAACCTAAAGTGAGAAATAAATTTCATTTAATTTGTATGTCAAAGAGTTAATCTCATTTTATAACTGACTTGTTTGACTCGGTTAGCGTAGCATACATACAAAACTTAAGTAAATTCGTTAATCTAATTTTTTTAACATCATCACGTTTTCAGATACAACACATACGAGCCCACTTCGACTATGATCCGGAGGAAGATCCTTATATTCCGTGCCGAGAATTGGGTGTCAGTTTTCAAAAGGGTGACGTGTTACACGTGATCTCTCAAGAGGATCCCAATTGGTGGCAGGCGTATCGAGAGGGTGAAGAGGATCAAACACTCGCTGGTCTGATACCTAGTAAAGCCTTCCAGCACCAGTATGTTGATATATATGTACATGTATCCTCTCTGTTGCTTGTGAAATCTTCCTTTTGGATATTTATCGGACAACCGAAATTTTATTTTATCAGGCGGGAATCCATGAAGCAGACTATCGCCGGTGACAAATCGACCGTACGCGGTTCGAAGAAATCCAGTACGTTGTTGTGCGCGAGAAAGAATCCAAAGAAGAAGAAACGGAACAAGTTCGGGGCGAACTACAACGACGACGGGTATCCACATTACGCAACGACTGCCATCGACGGTAGATATGGAAGGGATTTATATAAAAGATGTCGGGCCGCGTTCGCTCGTTCTCTGTTTGCTAATCAAATATTTACATTTCCCAGATTATGACAGCGAAGAGGTGCTCACGTATGAGGAAGTCGCGTTATACTATCCGAGGGCGAATCACAAGAGACCAATAGTCCTGATAGGGCCTCCAAACATTGGCCGACACGAGTTGAGGCAGAGGTTGATGCAAGACAGCGAACGTTTTGCAGCTGCAATTCCTCGTAAGCGTTCAGGGGTTGAGAAAAAGTTTATACATCGCGCGTGTATTTAACACGTTGAATGGGCCACGTGAAGGCCGCCGGTGACAAGCGATGCCAAGATTAGTAGAAACACATAATTCGAGTGAATGTTGATACTTCTAAATTTTTCAATATTTTGCTTCGTTACTGCAAATGAAGAAATTACTGCAGTAGAACATATAAAAATAGTTTTTATTTATACATATAATTCACGCATATTGTGATATAACACTGCAAACAAAGAAAAGATGAATCAATATAGTCTTGTGTGACGATTTTTCGCTTTTGTTCTACCTAATTGTTTTGAATTCTTTTTATAACATTTTCTGCCCGATCTTGGATTTTCCTGCCTTTTTTTTTCATTTCATGGCACAGTTTTCATTGTAGAGAAATATTTCAACGTAATATCTATCGCATGATAACAGTTTCATGTTAGTGTCTTGTAACATCACTGTGGTATTCAACGTGTTAAAAACTATCGCAACACAAAATATTTCAGTTTTTATTAATTAGAAAAAAAAACTTAATCGAGTTATGCTATGTGCGCATAAATCACATTTTCTTCATTTCACGATATCATCTTACATAAAGGTAACTATTTGTTTAAGACACGAGTCGCCCGAGGAAGGATTCTGAAGTGGACGGCCAGGACTACCATTTCATCTCTCGTTCCCAGTTCGAGTCGGACATCCTCTGTCGAAAGTTCGTCGAACACGGTGAATACGAGAAAGCCTACTACGGCACCTCCGTGGAGGCAATACGGTCCGTCGTGAACTCCGGTAAAATCTGTGTTCTTAATCTCCATCCGCAAAGCCTGAAGATCCTTCGAAATTCGGACTTGAAGCCGTACGTAGTGTTCGTTGCGCCGCCGAGCTTGGAGAAACTCCGTCAAAAGAGGATCAAGAATAACGAGAGTTTCAAGGAGGAGGAGCTGAAGGACATTATCGAGAAAGCGCGAGAAATGGAGGACAAGTACGGCCATCTGTTCGACATGATCATCATAAACACCGACACTGATCGGGCGTACAATCAGCTGCTGACGGAGATCAACTCGCTGGAGAGGGAGCCTCAGTGGGTGCCTGCGTCTTGGGTTCAGTAAAGAAAAAAAGGAGCGAGACTTCCTTCGGGACACCGTCGAGCCAGTTTGTTTGTTTTCTTCGCTGGAGCGTAAAGCGATAGGCGAGCAATTGAAAGAGAAAGGGAGGCGATTTTAAAGTCTGACTGGAAATGAAGACTTCCAGGGACTGGTTCTTTTACTGGGTGCCTGTTATACAATTTCACGTTTCGTACACGCGCGCAAATGAAACTTCTAGCCAGGCTATCGTACTTCAAGTACCGCTGTGGTTTGACGTAGTCTTCCGTGTCGTATATGGTGCCATCTGGCGATCCGAAGATCGTCGCGCCAGCAAGCGCGTTCCCAGAGGGCGTTGAAAATCCCCATCTCGTTGCGACTTTTCGCTTCAGCTCTGGCGTCCGCCCGGAGGCACGGCAACGCGGGAACATCGGGATTCGGCGACTTTGAAATTGAATCTCGAAGGATCCAATCCCTCGACCGACTAGCGTTGCTCTCGTTTTTTTCTTTCTTTTTTTTTTTTTTTTTCATCGTCTCAGCAACACTCTAGTTTTCCTGCGCGTAATTTGTACCAAACATGAGATGCCCCGAGGAATGATCGCTACTACCCCGCATAAGATACATATTATATATATATACATAATTATATATATACATTTCCAAAGATGCGTGAATCTTGAAAGAGATCGTCCTACTTCTTTAAAAAATCACCGGATATCTATCGTTCAGGATAACACCGAGCCGCGAAAAATTAAAAAGAAAAAAAGAAAAGAACAAACCAGAAGCGTGAAGATCTTGGACGGCAGTAGCCTTATTCACTTCGCAATTGAATCGAAAGACTTTCTCACGCGCTCGTCCCTTGCGAACACGTCACATAATTTTCACAGCGAACCTGCAGCGACGGGAGACGCGTCCCTGCTCGCTGAATTTTTTAAGCCAAAAACGGGAAAAAAAAAAAATATTTCGCAGGACCCTTGCAAGTTGTTAAAGACGATTAACATAAAAGAAACCACGTTTCCTCGTATTCGTAATTTCGTGTGAACTAGTAAGGGAGACGGAGAACTCATAAACGTTTCATCGTTCGCCCTAGGTACCCTCTCGTGTTTGTTTAGAGAAAAGAATCATAACCTCTAATCCAAGTAGACCTCGTTAATGCGAAATATAGACTTAGGCTCGTGTGTGAACCAGCGTAAAACAAATTTTTAAGACACACTTTGGAGAACGAGACACGGACTCTAGGGATTCGTCTTTTTATTTTCGTCCTCGAAACGAGACCGTTAGACTTTTCTTCTTCTTTTTTTTTTTTTTTTCCTCCAGTTCGACATCAGTACTCCATGTCAGCCATGTTACCACCCACGTGCATCCTCTTTACTCGACTAGCAATAACGCGACATCTACTTCGAGTCGAAGATTCTCGCTAAAAAGAAAAAAAATGAAACATGGTTTCGTGGCTCCAGGGAAAAACAAGGAAAATTCTAAAAAAAAAAAAAAAAAAGAGAGAAGAGTCGAGCGAGAAGAATTTAATAAAAATCGCATCGGCGATCGATCGTTTTTTAGTTTCAGCGAGGAGAAACTTTTTTCCGAGTGTAGTTTAATTTCGATGTCGTAAACCCAGCTAGCAGCGAAAAAAAAAGAAAAAAAGAAAAAAAAGAGAATGTTTCCAAGTGAAAGAAACGCGAAAAAAAAGAGATACTAATTGCTACCTTTTTAGTCCACTATTTAAAAAAAAAAAAGGAAAAAAAATTACGTTAAGAAATCACGCACGATGGTCGGAGTAATTGTGCCAAGTGATTGGGCCGCGTGTTAAGGAGGACACGAGAACTGAAATGTGCCAAAATATATTTGAGTCCCCTCAGTAGGAGACCGAAGAGAATTTTGTTCAGGGAAGACGTATTATACAATTAAAATTAAAAAAAGAAAAAAACAAAAAAAAAAGGGGAAAAACAAGAAAAAAAATGACACACAGAGAAGACAGTGATGGAGGAGGGCAAGAGGTTAGAAGAAACACGCTCAACAGGCACTTTCGTATCTGTCATTATATTGATTCTGTAAATATTTGTGCACTTGTATAGAGAGAAAAGAAGAAAGAGACGAGAAGATAAATAAGAAGTTTTTGTGTCGTTATTATTATTATTATTATTATAATTGTATTATTACTATTACCATTAATTACTTGGACTTTAATTTTCGTTAATTGATTGTCATCGTATCACCCGCTACTCTAGTTTTCTCGCGCCATTTTTGAGACACAGGACACAGTTTTATGCGAACAAAGGTCAGTAACACGATTATGTACTTGTTAAGTGATTAATCAAAAATCCTCGACGACGGGGTCTTCTTTCTTTATTCATTGTTTATGTTTTTTTTTTCTTTTTTCGCTGGGTTCGCGAACCGTGCTCGAGTAGTGAGGCGTCGTTAATGCGTTATGCCTGAAAACCGGATTAGGATTTCCGTAGATAATGCGTTAACAAAGCGCGTGCTATGTACAGAGAAAGTAAGAGAGGGAGAGAGAGAAAGTGTGAGCGCGGAATGATACCTGTTCGAAGTATGTGTACATTAATTACTGTTGCTCCCGAGTATTTTTCTCGACAATCCAATTTCATTTTATGTGTAAAATAAACGTACAACTTCAAAGAGGAGATCAGTATAAATGCGTGCATACGTTTTGTATATACGTACGGTATATACGCACACACACAAACATACATACTTACATACATACACACAACACATGTATCGTAAGAGTCGAACGAGAACCGAATATCAAAAAAACCGACCATTGTTGTTAATCTCGAGTCAGCTATTTTTATACCTTTCGTTTCATCCAGCTGCTCTTCCTTCTCTACGCCCTTCGCGTGAAAAATGTGTAAAAAACGAAAGAAGTCCAGAATAGTAGCCTGTGAATATATAGTTATTCTTTTTTCTCACTCTTTTTATTTTCTTTCTTTTTCCTTCAAGACACAAATTAGGAAAAAAGGATCAATCAGAGATATACCAACAGAATAGATACATTAGAAATAGTTAATGAACTATTGTGTCACCACGTAAAATTCTAAAAGCCATGACTCTGTCACCATGTAAAATTCTAAAAGCCATGCAAATGAACAGACAAATTATAACAATCAAAGGAATCAAATGGGTCCTTGACAAAATCTTACTAGTTGCATTTAGGGAGAGCTCCGTACCAGATTTTAGGATTATTTTAAGATCTTTGGGTTTTACAATATAAAAGTCTATGTCTATGTTAACCCAATTAAAATGTGCAGAAATTACTACAAGTACAACCACACAACTGCGCTGCAGAAGAAAATGTGTGCAGTTTATGGAATAAGTACCTCAATACAAGAGCATAAGTACAACGAAGACCTATACAATATCTACATTGCCAAAAAAACCATCACACTTTCTCTCAAGAGTGTAAACACTGCCAATACAACAAAAAAATGAATAAAATTATGAAAACAAAAGATTCTGTGAGGTTAAATCTCAAATAGATAAGGAAATGCAACCAACTGCAAAAAATCCGCTATTAAAAGAGAATTCAGGCTCAGGGATCATGTTAAATAACTGCAACGTCCCGCACTTAAAAAAACTCTCCATAAACGATGAATTCAAAATAAAATCCATAGGAGGCCACGTGAGTCCACAATGAGTGACTTGGTTTTATATCAGTCATCCTAAATCCTCAACTAATTCAAACAATCACATCATACAAAACCCTCCTAACAAAGAAGAATCCGAAACGAATCAACGTACACAAAACTAACCACTTTAAAGACAACAACAGAAGTAATAAACTGCAGGGGAACGAAGATGACAAGGAAAATTTAGTTGATTTATGGACGTTGAAAGACTATCACCACGTAGCGGTGAAATGGTGAAATTAATCACTATTTCTGTCCTTGTTACACAGTAGTGCGCTTCTTCTCAATGTGCCGATACCACGATTCCTGTATTACCGATGTTGACACAACTCCTTCTGTGAAAGGAAGAACGCACTACTGTGCAAAAAGGTACAGAAATAATGATTAATTCCACAATTTCATCACTACGTGGCGATACCGTTTTAATGTAATATCACAGACGAGGTATACTTCATAAAACGATTATAAGACTTAATTTTGAAAAGAACTTACGAAGAGGATTTAATCCGCGATCTCTTACAATTATATCCGTGTAATAGCTCCTTTCTACGGACCATTCGAGTTTCAGAATTCACATGTAGAAGATAACGAAGTAATAAAAGTAACGAAGTAATCACACATTATTCTTAATAAGCTGTAGTGTTACAAACGCATTTGCAATATGTTTTGTAATCAACGATATTCGGAAATAATGCTTCTTTTTTTAACATATTGACAACTTCTTGAAAACTTTGTATTTTAGAACTTCCAAAGGATTGTGAGACAAAGGGTTATATAGTCTTGAAGTGTCGCGATACGAATGACTAGGAAGAAGAATTTCTTTAAAATTTATTCAACGATTACTTGTTGCAATATATATTAATATAAATAATATAAAACACTATATATATTTATATTTGTTATATTTAGCGCGAGCTGTCCCATTTCGGAAAGATCATCAATCTTACTCTTACACAAACGTTACATCATAATCATTGCGACAATTACATAATTGTTTCCAAAGGCCGTTTATCAAATTCACACGTGCAGCTCGAGCAATCGATCATTATTCATGACTGTGTAATCTATACAATTGGCCATTAAAAGCCATTTCATTTCATTTCATTTCTTCTTTTCCAGATAAAAGCAAGTACGCACGTATCTCGAGACTCTGATTAAAGAGAAGGCTCGTTTCTAATCGTTCGAATTCTAATCTCGAAAAGGGGAACAAGGTAACGGTCGCGAGAAAGAGAGAAAAAGAGAGAGAAAAGGTTAGGTACGTTAGTAAGTCGTTAGTGAAATTTCAATGCACAAGGACGCGACGTGGTTAATTAAGGCCGACGAACCTTGGACGCCAAAGATGAATGAATTACAATTGTTGCAATTGTTACAACTGTTTCAGAAGGATCGCGTTTTCACAAAAATTTGCAAGAGCTCGAGATGCGAGTCTGGAAGCTAGACTGATCATACAAGGGGACACACATATATACAATTCTTCCCTCTGTTTCACCAAATCACGACTCGTCGGAGACGATCCTGTGTCCAACCTTGAACCACAATTTGCGCTACTATTCTCCCAACATACACGCACACGTGTGGGAACCATAACCTTCAAAAGTTATACCCGTAATGTACATTGTAAATCCGCCTCGGATTGTATATATACTCTATGTATATATATGTATATATGTCCCTTGTTCTTTAACAATCGTTCTTAACTCTCCTCAGTTGTGCTGGCCAACGTTACGTTAAAGCAGCCTGTCACCACAAAAGGGTAACACGTCGACGCGAAACGGATGACGGCGGCGGCGAGCAGCGATGGCCTCGGCACGCTTTGAATCTTTTCAATTAGTAAACGGCGATTGGAGGATCAATAACTGAAATCATCCTCTGCGCAAGTTTCCGAGGCTGGAAACTGCTTGAAAAGCAAAGCTACTCGGCGGCGTGGAGGAGAAAAGAAACCAGTGGATGGAGGAAGGATTACGAAAACAGGGCTTCAACGGGCGCGTGTATGAAAAAAAGCATGAAACTCCGGTTTTTACACCGTGCAAACGATCGATAAGAAGGTATATTACCGTGTAACGCGTTAGAGTAGCTGTGATCAATCTCTACATAGAGACCGAGAGAGTCGCAGTGAAAATTCCAAAGATCCAACACAAACCAGTTGCGCGTCTCGTTCGATATTTCGTGTAAGAGGCTGCGAGGTAGGTGGCAAGTCAGTAGGGGGATAGATCGATCGGCGTGGCGTTCGTGTTCGTTATCGGCGAGCGTGTTCAGGCGTTTTCAGGCCATCCTCGCTGCGGCCGTGAGGGGTGGCTAGAAAAGAGGAAGACGAGGAGGAACGACAGCGGCGGAAGAAGGGGGCAGAGTGGTTTGCAGAGGTGGGGGGACGCGCGGCTAGGTTAAGGGGCGTCGGGGACGGTGGTGGGCGTCGTTTCTACGCGCATGTTTCTTCTCCGCGAAACGGATCGATGCTGGAAATAGCTCGGCCCGCAGGAGAGTACGAGGTGAGTCGGCTTCGCTTTCGGCAGGGCCTTCGCAGCTCTCCACGCCTGCCTGTCTCCTGTTTTCCAGACCAGAAGGGGGAGAACGTAAACTCGCTAGCTAAGAGACCCACCGGTCCGTCTTCATCTCGTTTTCCGCGAGCTTCCCTCCGTTATCTCGGCGAACGTTATCCACCTCCGGTTTCCTCCTCGACCTCGTTCTTCCTCTTCCCTCCTCTCCCCCTCTCCTCTCTGTCTTTCTCTCTTTCTCTCTCTCTTTCTCTCTCTCCCCTTCGACAGAGAGTCTCCATCGGACTCTCCTCCGTTTCTCCTCCTCCTCCTCCTCCTCTTCTTCTTCTTCTTCTTCTTCTTCTTCCTCGCACATTCTCATATACCTGGCATACACACTGGTACACATCAGTTCAGTTTCATCCTCAGCCGTCACTCTTCTGTCGGCTCTTCGTTCTTCCTTCTTCCTTCTTCTCGCTCGTTCTTCTCCGCTGCGCAGAGTGTGTGCTTCGACCGGGAATACCATCGGAATCGGCGAACGAACGAAAACACGCAGCCACGGAGAGAGAGAGAGAGATCTCGGTCGCGGGATGACTCGAAAAAAATGTGCGTCGTACCGATGTGGCTGACGAGGCTGGAATCGTAAGTACAACTAGAAGCCGAGAGAAGCTTTCTTTTTTTCCTCTCCCGCCTCCCCCTTATAGAACTCAGTAGGAGATTAACGTCGCGAGATACCATCCGGAAATCGTGACACCGACACCCGCACGCTTCCTTTACGATTGAATCCGCGCGCTCGAAATTGCACCAAGTTTTCACCTTACTGGCTCGCGTGACCATGTTCCGCACCCTGGACTTCTTTCCGGCTCCTCTTTGGCCCTTAACCACCCCTACGAAAGGTGCAACACCCGATCTGTTCGCCACTGCAACACATTCTGGCTGGCATTGTTTCTAGGGTTTCCCCCGAACGTTTCTAGAGTTTCCTCCACTTCGATCGTCGAGTGTGCCTTGTCCAGTAGAACTGCTGTGGAATCGATCGTACCTGTGCCCCCGAGACTGTGTCATTAATGTCAGAGGTAGCAATGTCAAACGAATCTATCCACGACGATATGTGAATTTACGTTAACGTTGTAAATCAACGCAGGCAGGGCAAGGAATATTCCAGAATATTCTGACGCAGCAGCGATCGTTGCTAAGACGATAAAAAACGATAGCTGCCCATTGAGAGCTTGGCTTGGTCGATACGCCTCGCTTTTCCTCGCTTTCTGTCATCCATCGCCGATTACTTCGACCATGCTCGATGCCTCGACAGCCCTCCCCCTCTTACGTTCGTCTCTCTCATCTCTTTGTTTTACAATGTTATAAACGAGTTCTCCGTTTTCAGGCTGCTGGCTGTGTCAGGCGACGGATGTGTGGATAGAAAGGATTAACGATTCGGAGTCGAACGGTATCGCTGTGAAAAGTGACAGGTGATATAAAGCTGTCTGGTCTGGTTGTAGAGCATCGTCCGTACTGGACGATGGTATTACGCGTGCGCCTTCCTCTCGATCCAACGGACGAGTGTTCGAGCAACGCTCCTCGCCGCAAACTTTCTCGGTTACGTGCACAGACTTCTCCTCCCTCCAAGTGTGCAGATGTTGCTCTCTGATCGTTCTTCAACGTTCCTCGCAATGTTACTTTGTTAGTTTGCTTTGTTAATTAATCGTCGAGCTGACTTGCTGAATCGGAGGCGACTCTTGCCTTGACGGAATTCCTCGACTTTGTTCAGTCTGTCGTCTTTCCCTTCTGTTTCTAAATGTGGCGCAATATTTTCGGCGTTGAATACATGTTATTGCACATGCTCGCGAGAAACTTGCAATTGATTGCAGTTCTTCCTTTTACGCTGGATGAATTCTTCTAATTTTCCTAGGAGATTTTTTTTAAACATTTTTCCAATTTTTCGAATACTTTTCCAAATGTTTTTTCAACATCTCTTTAATATTTCCTTCTAATTTTTTTTAGGAGATTAACGAGCACGATACCTCTTGAGATAACTTTTCTGGAAGATGATTGGATCGTCGTAGTTATTGACATTACCGAGACCCACCAGAATCTTTGTTTCTTCACACTTGAAATATAATTTGCAATGTTTAATTAATTGCTAGATATTATGTCGAACGATCTGTACAAAATTCTCCACTAGTCAGTGATTGATTGGAGTTAACAAAAACTAAAATACAACTGTCGAAAGTATTGAGTAAATAAATTAAAAGGAGCGAGCGTGTTGTATTGGTGAATTGGTGCGCCGTTGGATTTCACATGGGGTTTGGATTTTCTAAATATAAGTCGGCAGGCACGCCATTTTTCTCCTCTATTGGATTTCGCTTCACTGAACTCTGTCCTGAAATTTTTCACCGAGAGATACTCTGCTCTCTCACCATCCTGCGAGCTACAACTTTTGAAAAGCTGCGTTATCTTGTTTCTAAATTTTTACTGAACTTCTCTCTCTCTCTCTCTCTCTCTCTCTCTCTCTCTCTCTCTCTCTCTCTCTCTCTCTTTCTAAATTTTCACTGAATCTCTCTCTAAATTTCCAGGGCAAAATTGAAGAAATTTCGTAGACTTGAGAGATGGAAGCTAATAAACAAATCTCTAACCGGTATCTAATTGGAAATGAGAAATTTAATTTTTAATTTCATTGTGCCTTGTGTGACTTTTGTACAAACTTGAAAGTTCCAGAGCGCACGTAATATGCAAAGAACGTCCGCAAAATATCCAAAGGTATTTGTTATAACATTTAACAGAAGACAGATTTCTTTGGTCTGTCAAGACGATTCAAAATTCATAAAAATTTACAGCCTGATTGTTAATGATCTCTGTCAGGGAGGAAGTACACTTTCGTCTGTGCAAATTTCATCCGTCGATCCCACGATGTCGTTTCAGGGTTAACTCTGGTAACAAGTGCCGGTCTCTCAATTCCGTGTGCAAAAGCACGAACCGCTGCCGGTCGATAATCTCTGTTCACCCGATGACGCGGTTCGAGCCAAATTTAATTATCTGGATACCGGAGATAAGAATATACCCACGTCTTGTCGAACATCAATATCGTCTTACGCTACTATGTCCGATCGTTTCGGTACGTTTGACGTCGATTTCATTGATAAGATTTTTGATAAGATTTCCCTTCGCTACCGGAAAATTTTAGAAACCTATTTTTTCCCAGGAGTAAGAAGTGTTTTTTTTTTTTTTTCTGACAGATCTTCAGCTAGGTTTTCATCTCGACTTTTCTATCTTCGTTCCATCGTTAATTCACCCTTCGTTGGCCAAGCTGGTGTTTCATCTAGATTACAGATTAAGTCATTCCATAAATAATTCTGTACTTTACACAGAACGGTGCTTACTAAACTTAGAAGCAAAAAGTTTTTACAAATATTTTATGCTTTGTTCGTGTCTCATATACACGTTATTATTTATTAAAATGGTCCAGTTACGACAGACGAAAATTCCTTTTTAATTAGTTAATATCGATCGTTTATTGCGCTCAGACTGCGGTCAAAGGTAAAATTCCAAAAATGCACAAAATGCATATAATATATAAGATGAATAAAATAATATATTGTACATTATATACAACAAAATAATATATTGTTGCATAAAATTATTCATGCATACATACATGACATGAAAACAATAAAATAACAATGAATAATAAAATCATACAAGAGTCCAAAATATAAAAAGGATATATATTTATCACAATCATATCTGTATCAAGATTCTATTTATTCAATAGAGATAAAAAAATACAAGTTTATAAATAAAAGAAAGAAAAGAAATTTACGTGAAAATCCACAGTCTAATCTAATCTACTGATACTTTAATTGTTAATTTGCAAGTTCTAGGAGTCTATCGCAGAAGAAAAAAAAAAAAAAAGAATGAGAAGTAAAGAAATCGTTATTTATGGAATGGCTTGATGAGATTGAGAGGAGAAGAGCGTCTTCCTCGCGCTGTGTGCCGTAGAACTAGAACGTAGAGGTCGTAGATGAGATTGCCAATTCCTCAGCCGTTATCGATTGCAGTTCCCTGGGTCGCATGCTGGTTTTATTTGGGGTGAGTCGCGATGGTCGTCGAGTTTGTTAGTACACCAGCCACGACACACGACCACCCTGCGGTAATCTGGAGCACGTGCTCTCTCTCCTGTTCGTCCAATTATCGACGAAACTCTGTTCCGCACACTATGCCCGGTCGCTTTTAGTCGCTCGCCGACTTCTGACCTCTGTCTCGTGTCGATTTAATTGTCGCGCAACTCGCGTACGTCGCTCGTGTCGTGGCTTTTCATTATTCGCGAGTTTTTCGCTCGTTAAAATAATACGGTAGTTTCAGTTCTTTTGAAATGTAAAAGTTCAATATACTCAGGTATAAAAAAATTTTCAATCCTTCAGGGACGAATGATTTGAATTTCTTGGTAACTTTGATTGATTTAAATCATTTTATTTATATAGCTATTCTATTTTATTCTAATTATTTTGTTTGTAGAGTTTGCATAATTTGTAAAATTATGAAGCATAATATAAAAGTGTACAGTGTTTCCTACAATATTCCACATCTATAATATAGAACTTCTCGATAATTTTCGTACATTTAAATTATCATTTGTATAATTATTCTATATAATTATTTTTGTAATCGATTTCATTTCAATTATTTACATAACTTATACAATTATAGAGCACAGTGTAGTACAGTGTTTTCTACAATATTTAGTTATATAAAACAGTTCTATTCTTTTAATTAATTGCATTTTTAATCTCTAATTGATCACATTCTGTTTTCTTTTTTAAATTATATTTTCAGAAATATGACGTTGCATAAAAGACTGCAACTATCGTTTCACCCTTGGATGGATTGAAGACAAATTCAAATTCTATCAAACATTTGTGAACATCTATTGGATACACGACTCAATTATTTAGATAGCTGGCCAAACAGTTGTTTCTGTAAAGGAACTTAAATCTTCTTTTGGAAGGATAATCTCAATGTATCGTTCACAACTGGAAAATGGGAGAATTTTAGATACATGTATCGTTATACCGGTGTTAATTGAATTCTCCATTCGCTACGGATTAATATGCTAAATATGTCCATCGCGTAAGACTTTAAGCTTCTTATCAATGATATGGATAGTGGTGTACCAAGGGGGTAGACATTTGCGTGTTACACAACTTCGTTTCATTTGAACTTGAGAAGGTGCACAGTATCACGTAGGAAAATGTACAGTGAAAACAAATGATACATTAACATGATAATCTGTTTCCATCAATACACTACATACAAAAATAATGTGTTCAATAGCAATTTCCAATAACGAGTACAATAATAACATACAATAATAATACAAATAACATAAACATTTCAGAATCAAAAAGAAGTTTTTCCTTTTACAGCTCTATTGTAGAGAACATTTTATATTATATTCTCTACAATAGAATATAAAATATTTTATATTGGGTTTAAAAATAAGCGTTTAATTTTACTTGAAGAATATTTTGCAATTTTTCTAATAACAATTCCACTGTTATTATTAGTGAAAATTAAGCGTTGAAATTACAAGTGTGTCAATACTCGAATTTTTATATTAGTTGTATCATTATTGAAAATTGCCACTGTGCACGTTACTTTTGTACCTATATAGTGGAAATTACTTGTGGAAACAGATTTTGCTAATATGTCATTTGTTTTCACAAAGATATATGCCAAAAAAACTAGGCGTGCATACTTACTATTTGATCCACTATAATACTTTCAATAATTTATTTTTTTTTTCGTCTTTGAGACAACTATTAACCCATTAAACTAACGCAATCAGTATTTCATCCAATTCTTTTTTTCAATGTCAGAACTGTGAAGAGAAGTTCCAAGAATTCGCTTAATATTTTTTTTCTTTTTGTAGAATTCAAAAAGATCAAAGTATTTACGTTATGACGAAAGTCCTCTGTGGGGAAGGTATCTTTACTCTGTGGACAATGAAGACGTCAGTCAATTTATAAATGTACAAATGATGAAACGCGAGTGGGATCTCTACAGTGAAAATTGAATGTGAACTCATTGACCTAAAACCTGGCACGCGGTGATAAAGATAACAGAAAAGAATTTTTGGCATTTTCTCAGCCAAGATTCCCGTTATCGAGGGGCATTGTAAAAGGTCAACAGGAAGGGTAAAATGGTCACGAGTGTACGGCACTGCTGATCGATCGGGCCGTGTTCTGGCAACGATCCCATAACGCGTGCACGACCGTCTCCAAATCGGAGATTTTTTACTATTTTTTTTTCTTTTTTTTCACCGATTGAAAGATCCCAGATGACGATCGTTTTATTCTCTCTGTCGACCTTTATTTTCTCAATGTCTCTCCCCGCGATTTTTAGATATGAATATATTTGAATTGTTCCAAGTCATTCGACTAAACTAGAAACTTATTTATAGTAGTGTCAATCAATTTATGGAACAATGTAGCATTTGAAACAAACGTTCTAATGCTAATTATGTATTTAAGAAACAAGATTGGGAAATTCGTTTATAATGGTATTAGCCATTGTTTAACTTTTGAGAGAGTATAGAACATAATGAAGAGCATAATTAGAAGAACAGTAACTACAGGTTTTGTAAAAATCATTTCTCACAATATTCTTGGTATTAAAAATACAAAAAATGTACTTTTGTACACTTTAATGTTAATGACAATGAGAAATGATTTACATGAAACCTATAGTATTGTATATCAATTCTGTTGTTTCTCATTATATTCTATTAAATACAACATGCAGTGACTCATGAAATTATTCGAACACCTATCATAGAAGAATTTATTATTCATTTATATATTAATATGTATATTATTCATGAATATATTCATGCATTGTTTCGTATATACTGTTATATGAAATATTTTGAAATTTCATTAACATTGTGATGGGAGATGACTATTATTGTGCCAAATATGCATAGTATGTACCATATAAAAATTGCGAGATATTTGCTGTAAACATATATTTACACTAAATATTATTTAGCAAAACAATTAGTATCATCTTATTATCTTAGTATCATCTTATAATAAGTGTTGAAGATGCTCCATTGAATATTAAAGCACATTAACTCATTGAGGACTAATATTAATACAACATTTTATTTGCAATTTCTTCAATCAATTTGAGCTAACAAATTCTATTGATGAAACGAGATTCTAAGGATTTCCTAGATATTTTTTCATCACTGTATCATCACTTAGCTTTTACATTCTTATAAAATTGAAAGAAACTGAAGATACCAATTTATACTATTATGAATTTGTGCATCAATGTGCGTAACATACAAATGTAAAATGACTAAAAATTGAGTATTTATCATAACAGATGTACTAAATAAAACAAATATCTATTTAGGTTCTATTTGTTATGATTATAAAAATTTAAAAATACTTAAAAATCCGCAGTTATGACCAATTATTGCTTGGTCCTTAATGAGTCAATATAATGGATAATTAGTTACTTGAATACCTTTGACCACAAAATATAAATACTTGCATCAAACATACATTTCTATATACTATTTTTATACACATTTTTAGATATAATGGATAATTAGCTTCTTCGACTACAAACTTGTACACATTTCTATACACACATGTACTTTATTTTTACTATTTTCATATACATTTTTAGATTTGTTTGGAACTTGACCAATATACCAGACAATCAGGCCTCGCTGTGTGAACAGTGTTAATGAAATTTCAAAATCCTTTACATAACGCGCGCGATATATTCGCAGAGAGAGAGTTCCTATAGGCATTCGAATATTTTCGCGAGCAACTGTGGCAACACGTTTCAAAGTGATCGACGTGCGGAAAGATGAACGAGCACACAGAGAATGTCGTGTTTCGTCGACGTGTGGACGCCTTTAAAAAAAAGACCGGACGAATTTAGCTCGCCGGTTATAAAGAGCAACCGGCTATATGAAGATCGTTAGTGTGCAACAAGTATTTAAAGATTCGGCAAAGTTTGAGCGTTTATAAATCGTCGCGTGGGTGTGTTGTCATCTCGTTCGCGAGCACACGAATTCATGTCGCCCATATCATGCATGCCTCGCATTGTATTTCAGGGTTGCGTAGAGTGTGTCTAGAGCATAATAGCTTTACTCCAACTATCTATGATCTATCCTTGTGGTTCCTTTAGAGGTGCATATAATCTGCATGAGAATCTGTAATAAGAAGTATATAGTAACAATAGCAATGCATTTAAATTGTCCTCTGATTCTATTTTTCTTTCACGTTTCATGTCATAAACTAATGCAGTCCTCCTATCAACATTTCAGAAGCTGAACTGATCAACTTCAATTTTTATGTTGTAAAGAGAGATGATGAATAGTAATGTTAGGTCGTACAGTAAATTCCATTCTTCAAATATCTTCACTGTCATATTTTATTAAATCGTTTTTAAAGTTGAGTTATTTAAAGTTTATATTGAAACATTGAAATAGTTGATGAATACCACAATAATTTCAAATTGGAACGAAATTGTAATTGAAAATTTGCTATCTCACAAAACATAAGTTTTATAACTCAATGTGCAACATTCGCTTTTCCACCAATGTTGTAATTAACCTTTCAACAATGTAGTAATTCTATGTAAATGTTAAGAGGTGAACAAACTTATTAATCATTTCTTGTTAATCATTTTGGGATAAAAATTCATGAAATGTAGATCCATTGTAAGTTACTATTTAGCATTTTCAATTGGCTAGCAACACCTAGAACCTTTGTACTCTGTTGGTTCTGTTCCAAGGACATATAGAATATATCATAACTTCATTGGCTCTACTACAAAAACTGTTATGACTGATATAATACTATCAAATAATATATATGTATATAAAATATATATATAGAAGATTACAACATTGTGTAGTCACCACAATACATATTACTTGATAGTCGCATTTATATATTACTATCAAATAATATAGTACAATATGTTAGTAATACATTACACATTGTGATGACTACACATGTTGTAAGTTTCTATATATATGTTTCTAGATTTTCTTTATATATTTCTAGACTTGAAATTTGACCAGTATAATCATGATATAGTCAGGTTTCACTGTAGTGTTGACGTTTCAAAATATAATGTACATAATATATAATACAGTACATATAATCTATCAAATGATAACATAATATATATTGTGGTGACTACACAATGTTGTAATCTTTTATATATATATATTTCTAGATTTGGAACTTGACCAATATAATCATGATACACAATAAACACAATATATTTACAAAGAGTATTAAATATCTTAAAATTATTATTATTATTATAAATTGTATAAATGAAAGTTATTATCGTAATAACATCACACATTATTACACATCATCATGTCATGACATATTACAGTATCAGAAAATATTCAGAATTCAAAAGGTTAATGGGACATGCCGATTAATTGAGGGTTGAAGAATTAACAGAAATTAACAGAAAACGATGAAACGTTGGTTGCAGAGGCCTCGCTTGTTCCACGGTAGCTCTTAGAGGATGCACAAGCTAGCCAAGGGCCTGAAAAAGAAGAAAAAGCAGAAGAAGGGCAAGAAGGGGGCAGAGGAGGACGAGTTCGACCCGGAGGAGCTCGAGCGTTATAGGCGCGAGCGGGCGGAGGCCCAGCAGAAAGCCGAGGATACCGGCGAGCAGGCCAGCAACGCCAGCTCCGACGAGTGGAAGAAGTTCGAGGCGTTGACCGCCGGTGTCGACTCGATCCTCAAGAAGACACAGGGTGACCTCGACCGTATAAAGTCCACGTCCTTCTTCCAACGGAAACCGCCGCTAGAGGACGAGAAGAGAGAGCAGCAGGAGGAGGAGGAGGACCAAGAGGAACCGAGTAGCAAAAAGTCGTCGAAAAAGTGGGTGGGCTTCGACGAGGAGGGCAATCCGATCGAGGAGGAGCCACCGGACTTCGAGTGGAAGGGCAAGAAGGAGGAGAAGCCTCTGGTGAACGAGGACGGTTTCGTCGAGATCCCGGACGACGAGGATGAACGCGAGGACTCCGTCGAGGAGGACATATTCGACACGACGTACGTCGACGTTCTCCAGAACATCGACGTTCAACTAGCTTACATACCCGACAGCCCGACCGAGGAGGAAACCGGTGACGATCCGTTCGACACCACAAGCGCGGACAAGGTATTAAAGACAGTCGACAAGAGGGGGAAGAAGTTGGTGAGTTTAGGGAACGCGGTAGAGGTTCTTGCCGGACGGATCGATTACGTGAGCTCGTGCAAGATCACCAAAGGCAGGCGGCCTAGGCTTCAACAGGATTTGCTGTTGGACGATTTCGAGGAGCCGGAGCAACCGGTGGACGGTGACAACGTAGTCGCAGAGCCGGTGGAGGCAGAGAAAACCTTGCTCGACGACGACAGCGATCTTCCGGACATTCCCGTCAATCTCACCAAGCTACCTCCCGTTCTGCCAAGGCCGGTCAGCCCGGCTGCGAACCAAGAGAACGTCGCTGAGAACAAGTCGTCGTCGTCCGAACAAGTCGGACCTCTGGACATTTCCGAGTTCGAGGTGCTGAAGGAGAAGACGATCTTGGAAGAGATCCCCGACTTGGACGACGCGGAGTTCGACCTTCAGGCGGCGCCAGATGAACCGGCGCGTCTCGAGGAGGTTGACGATCCTTTCAAGCCCAAGGAACCGGAGGCTGTAGACTTCCAGGCGGAGATAATCGAGGCGAGCTTCGAGGCGGCGACGTTCGTCGACGAGGAGGACCCGTTCGACACCACCTTCGCCGAGAATATCCTTCCTGGTAAAACAGAGTTGAAGTTCATCGAGAAGGAGCTCGAGGAGCTGCCGGTTTCCGAGGTGACGATATCGTTGACAGACCCCGCCGGATTGAACAGAGACTACGAGACGGGATTGCTGAAGGAGGAGAATGGAGCGAAGGTCTGCAACGGTCTGCAAGGTAAGAAGGATCTGTTAGGAGGATCTACCACTGATCTCAGTCAACTCGCCGACGAGCCGATAGCCCCGGTGGAGGACATCACCTACGTGGATCCGTTCGACACCTCCGCTGTTAAAGAGATCCCTCCTGGCAAGACGGAGTTGAAGTTCCTCGAGAAGGAGCTGCTTGGCGAACAACCGGACGTTTCCATTTCTCTGGACGACGACGACTTTGATCCAAGGAAGGACGAGCAGCCGGTTGAAACGGCTGCTGTCAAGCTACCGCCGAGGCCACCACTTCCAGCAGCTCCTGCCAAGCCAACCTTCCAGGTCGAGTTCGAGGAAGAGGAGGAGAACAGCGGCGAGGCAGCCGATCGTGGTCGAAGATCTTCGAGGCCAGAGGTACTCGAGTTAGCGCCTTCGAAGGCTGTCGCCTTCGAGTTGCCCACGCCGTCCAAACGACCGGATCTACTCGCCACCACCGACGAGGAGAAGGCTCTGCCATCGAAGCCTCTCACGCCTTACTACTCCCAAAAGTCCATCGACGATTTGTTACCGATACAGGAGGAGGAAGCCGATGTCGACCCGTTCGACACCAGCTTCGTAGCCAAGGTCGCGCCTGGGAAGACAGAGCTGAAGCTGATCGAGTCGGAGTTGTTGAAACAAGAGCCGAGGCTACCGCACAGCCTGAGCGACCACGAGTTCGATCCGCGCGCCGGCGAGCAACACACGAGAAGGCAGAGCGATTTCACGGCCAGCACGATCAGGCCGAATAATCTGAAGTTCAACGAGCTTCAGGACACCGTGTTGAGGAAGTTCGAGGAGCAGAGTAAGCCGAAGTTGCAGGAGAGACAGGAGAGTCTGCTGGACGAGAAGATCGAGGTGGATGCGAAGCCCCTGACGCCGAGAATCGAGTCGAAGCCGATCGAGGAGGAAGAGATCTCCTACGCCGACCCCTTCGACACATCCATCGCCACTAACATCCTCCCCGGCAAGACAGAGTTGAAGATCCTCGAGAGCGAGTTGGAACAGATCCCCGGTGAGATTGCCGTTCGTCCCGTGCCGATTTCGTTGACGGCGATCATCAAGACCAGCGTCCCCGAGGTCGATCCTGACTTCGACCCGAGGGCGGAGGAGAGGACGAAGGAGTCCACGGATTATCTGTGCATCGACGATCAAGATCCTGGAGCGAAGGTACTCACACCTTTGCAGAACGAGAATTTCGGCTTACCAGAGGACGTGGATCCTTTCGACACGAGTTTCGCCACTCTAGGGCCGGGGAAGACCGAGCTGAAGATACTCGAGTCCGAATTAATGGAGAAGTAGAGGCTGCGTTTCTATCTTCCTCTTCTCTTCGTCTTATTCCTACAAAAAGAGAGTCTCTGCGCAATTCTCTATCAGAAAGTATTATCATACCAAAGAATATTTTAAGTAACGTTTCAAACTAGTCAATTAACCTTCGTCGAGCAACATGGATTCCAAGGGAGGGAATCCTTTCTTGATGGACGACTACGGGGTCGAGCCGACCGACAACAGGATGGCCAACCAAGCGTCGAACCCTTTCCTCCAGGATTTCACGGACGCGGGCACGACCGGCGGCGGGGAGAATCCTTTCCTGAACTTCGGCGCAGACCAATCATCTTATCAGTCATCGGCCATCACCGTCGACTCGACGAATCCGTTCGCCTCTTTCGCCATGGAAACCACCGCGCCGAGCACTGGTTTCGAGACCACCACCACCACCACCACCGACGACGCGACTGCTAACATATTCTCTACCGAGTCTAACAACATATTCGCCACAACCGACGACGAGTCGAGCGCGAATCTCTTCGACGCGCCGATCTCCTCTCAAGGGAGCGACGAACTGTTCGGCCAGGAGTTGCAGTCTGCACCTCCGCCGTCTCCGGCGGTGCCCATTACACCACCTCAAGCCAAGAATGGCAGGCCTGCACCGTCCAGACCGCCCCCGCCCAGACCTCAACCACCGGCGCCTCCTAAAAACACCAAAGACTTGATTCTGTCAGTTACCGGAGCCATGGATGCTACGTCTAATCACCTTCTGGATCGATTACAGGTTTGTTCGGGCCTTCATTATTACTCGCATTAGTCACGAGTATATTATAAACAAATTCTGTATGTTCCCCGATTCCGTTTCATCTTGATACCTGTTTCAGGCAACGAGAACGCCGAGTCCAACGCTGATGCACTCACCGTCGCCAACCCCGGAACACAGTTACGCCGACTTCCTGGACGTGGACTCGAACGTACCGGACCTCATGTCCGACGACAGCAAATCGGTGGCAGAGCCGCCGAAGAACCGCGACATTCTGGACCTGTTCGACGCCCCGAATACAGACACGACGACCACCACCATATTCTCCTCTTCGATGACCACCGAGGACACCACCAATTTGGTGACAGGGGTGCCTCTGATCAGTGCTACCACCGCCCAAGAGAATCCATTCGTCAGCATCACGGAGCAGGCAGCGTCGCCCACTCAGGCCGAGGACAGTTTCAAGTCAGACTTCCCGGACACAGCGTCTGTGACCAGCGAGAAGAGAGCCTCTATAGCTTCAACGACCGGTGTTATCGGAAGCGACACCGAGAAGGCTGGCATCGATTTGGATTTCGCTACAGAATCGCCCGTTATCTCGGAAACTATGCAGTCGTCCGCTACCGGCGCTGAATTGTTCGCCACCCACGAGCAACCGGCGACTACCGAGTCAGCGTTCTTCTCCGTTGCCGACACAACAACGTCTTCTGGACCGTTCGGAGCCGCGGATACCGCGGCGACGCCTTTCACAACGTCCATGCAAACGCCTAGCACGCAGCCTCTCTTCGCAAGCACGGATATCACTGTGGCAACCAGCGAACCCACTGGACCATTTGCTTCTGATTTGCTTGGCGATTTCGGCGAGCCCGCCAAGGACACCAGCGGCGTGACCAGCCCGATTCCTGGAGCTGAGTTCCCCGCCAGCGAGGCGTACAAGCCCGAGGAGCAGCTGGATAATTTTGCAGCAACCACGAAAGCAGCACACATTGAGAGCACCGGGGACGCTTTTGATATTTTCGCCTCCAAGTTCGATAAAGCTGCCGAGCAGGAAACTGGCGGCGGTGATCCTTTCTTAGATGCCTTTGGCGGCGGGCCTACTGCCATGGACACGTCCAGCGATGGTAAAATTTTGCCTGTTGTAACTTTCTGTTTTTTTTTGTGTGAAGTCGAGGAACAAGCCATTAAGGATGAAAACTAGGAAATGTTTCCTACTTGTCGTGTATTTGGTTTTATGTTTTAATCTTTGTCGTTGTCGTTCAGTTTTCTGCTTTTGTTAAGTTGAGGAACAAAATTTTAAGGACGAAAACTAGGAAATGTTTCCTATTTCATTGTGTACTTGGTTTTACGTTCATTTGAATCTTTGTCGTATCGTTCAGTTTGGGGTGATTCGTCTGCCACCGGGTCAGAGACAGCAGTGACCGGATTCGGTGAAGCTGATGGGTTTGATTCGTTCCTGAGTATGACTGCCCCTCCTCCAGAACCAACTGTAAAGAGAACCGAGTCTGTAGAATCGGATGCGGGACCAGATTTCAGTGTATTTATTAAGTAAGTGTCGACCAAGTTATTAAACGTCAGATTAACGAATAATGCAAACGTCAATTATTAATTATTAATGCTAACTTGTATGCCAATTTTTCCTGCAGACCTAAAGAGGATGACCAAGGCGGAGCAATGGAAGGAGGAGCTGTCCCTGCGTTAGCGCCACCGCCAAAGAGTCCACAGAACACTGCTTACGCCGATACCTCGCCACGATTCAATCCCTTCGACAAATCAGGATTCGCACAGGATGCTATCCCCACTACAGAAGTTGTTCAACCTGCTGAAATCACTAGGACCGATTCTCAGGTATTGTAAACTTTGATGCTTCCATATTTGTGTAACGAAATTTAAAGGTTCTTGTCATCTTGTTTCTCTGAAAGAATAATTTCTATTATTTAAAAATCTAAAAAATATATATATATATATATATAGACCAGAAATTTCTGACCTATTTAATGAAACCAATTGTTTTATTATATTTATACATATACACATACTATACTGTACTATACTTTTTTTTATTATTTACTTACACATGTATTGTTATTTATTTCTATTTGATGCCAGGAAACGCCTCCAACTCCCCTGTTCGACGAAGACGTTAGCCAACCTTTGGAAGATTTCCCAAGAGTGACGTATACCGGTGATGGTTGGGAAATGCATCTACGCCAGCCTAACAAGAAGAAGATCACCGGCCAACGATTCTGGAAGAAGATCTTCGTGAAGTTGGTCTACCAAGGTGACAATCCTGTACTCCAGTTGTTTAACAGCAGGGATGACAAGGATCCCTTCCAAGAATTACCTCTAGTCCCTTCTTACTCGATATCTGACATCGGGGCGCAACAATTTGATCAGTATGGGAAGATATTCACGGTGAAGTTGCAATATATTTTCTACAAGGAGCGGCCTGGAGTACGACCTGGCCAAGTGACAAAGGCGGAAAGGTTAACAAACAAATTGAGTCAGTTCGCCGCCTACGCCATTCAGGGTGATTATCAAGGGGTGAAGGAGTTTGGAAGCGATCTGAGGAAGCTTGGTCTTCCCGTGGAACACGCGCCACAAGTATAACTTCTTTTTACATTAGAATAGCTTTCTGAAAAAAGGCTTGTCTATTTATTTTATTTAATCATAGAGGACTCGAGTGATATAATTTGTAATATAGGCCCTTTTTCTATCAAGCTCCCTAATTATTAAAGTAAACTTAATTATTTATCGAGTGATCTTGACTTTCTTTCCCCGTATAGATCTCTCAGTTGTTCAAGCTCGGATCTCAAAACTACGAGGACATGAAGCAGTTCTCTTGCGCGATCGAGGAAGCTCTATTCAGGCTGCCGGCTCATCGAGATCGGGCGCTCAGTTATAAGACGGAGGATGTGCAAATTACGGTCGTGGATGAATTGTACGTGGAGCAGAACGCGCAGGGTCAAGTTGAGAAGCAAATAGCGCGTGTTCGATTGTTCTTCTTGGGCTTCCTTTCTGGTAAGATTTCACCAGCTCCTCGGTATCATGTTATTATATAATTATCACTTATGATTCTCGCTCATTATCTCAGGAATGCCCGACGTTGAGTTGGGGATAAACGACATGTGGCGCCAAGGGAAAGAGGTCGTAGGCAGGCACGATATAATCCCAGTGGTGACCGAAGAATGGATCCGTCTGGAGAACGTTGAGTTCCACTCTTGCGTTCAGCAGGACGAGTACGAGAAATCTAGAATTATAAAGTACGTGTCTAGTGAACAATTTTTCAAAACAGCCTCCCATGAAATTCTACCAATCTGAAACGATCTGTAACGACAGCAGCTACACTAACAATTGGACTAATCGCAATTAACACCCAACTAACCGTTTTCAAAGGTTCAAGCCACCGGATGCATGCTATATCGAACTTATGAGATTCCGAGTAAGGCCTCCTAAAAACAGAGAGCTTCCCCTCCAGCTTAAAGCCGTAATGTGCGTTACCGGTAACAAGGTAATGTCACTTATCAATCCAGGAACGTACCAACGTACGCGTCGACAACTTTGCATGAACTCAACGTCTCATCGTTGACGAATCGATATGATATTTCACTTGATCAGCCTTAATGTTTCTACGCCTTCGATTCCGACACCCACGCACACACTGACCTCGTTTCCTTGTTATCAATAGGTAGAACTAAGGGCTGACATTCTCGTGCCGGGATTCGCGTCGCGGAAACTGGGCCAAGTGCCCTGCGAGGACGTGATGGTCCGTTTCCCTATTCCGGAGTGCTGGATCTACTTGTTCAGGGTGGAAAAACACTTTAGATACGGATCCGTGAAGTCAGCTCACAGGAGGACGGGAAAGATCAAGGGTATCGAGAGATTTCTCGGCGCGGTTGACAATCTGGAACCTCAGCTGATGGAGGTGACGTCCGGGCAAGCGAAATACGAGCATCAACATCGTGCTATTGTCTGGAGAATGCCTAGGTTACCAAAAGAAGGCCAAGGTATCTCCTTTGTTACGGCTGCTTGTAACCCTGATGTGGGCAGCCACATGTTTCTTAGGCTGAATATATTTACGTATATTTTCACATTTCTTGGAAATTTTTCTTTAGCCAAAATATTATATATACTATTATAATATAAAATAGTATATATTTTCTTTAGCGGAAATATTATATTATAAAATATTATATATACTATTATAATATATTATAATATTATATTATATTGTAATATAAAATAGTATATATTTTCTTTAGCAAAAATATTATATTATAAAATATTATATATACTATTATAATATATTATATTATATTATATTATAACATAACATAATATATATTTTCTTTAGCGAAAATATTATATTATAAAATATATTATATTATATTATAATATAATATTATATTATATTGTAATATAAAATAGTATATATTTTCTTTAGCAAGAATATTATAAAATATTATATATATTATTATAATATACTATTATATTATATTATAATATAAAATAGTATATATTTTCTTTAGCGAAAATATTATATTATAAAGTATTATATATACTATTATAATATATTATAATATTATATTATATTATATTATAATATAAAATAGTATATATTTTCTTTAGCAAAAATGTTATATTATAAAATATTATATATACTATTATAATATAAAATACTATATATTTTCTCTAGCAAAAATGTTACATTACAAAATATTATATATACTATTATAATATATCATAATATTATAATAGTATATATACTATTTTACAAATTTCCATTCTGCACTTTGGTTGCCTATTTTAACGCCAACTAAATAAAACACTGTCGATAATACACAGGAGCATACACGACGCACCAGTTGATCTGTCGAATGGCCCTAACTTCCTACGATCAGATCCCCGAAAATCTATCCGAATATTGTTACGTGGAGTTCACAATGCCAGCGACCCAGGTGTCCCACACGACGGCGAGGAGCGTCAGTTTTCAGAACTACGACGGCGACAACCCACCGGAGAAATACGTCAGGAATTTGTCGCGACACGAGTACAGGTACGATCTTCCAATAACAGCGAACATCATCTGTAATCCGCAAAGGAAAATCTATAATCTATTGATATGACGTGTGCCAGAGTTGGAATCGAGCATACGCAAGGTGAAGGGCCAGGGGCGTACGTGTCCGCGACGTATTCGAGGAAAATTCCGGAAACGACGCCGGAGACCCAAGGGGAGGCTTCAGACGCCGGCGCGGAATCGGATTCCGATTCCTCCGAGTAGAAAGAAACGATAATGAAAAAAGAAAAGAAATTCAAATTCAGTCTCGCATAAGGTAACCTGTAACGCGTACGAAACTTAAGGAGAATTACCCGTTAATGCTAAGGTGTATACAGAAAGCGAAAACGATGCCTGTGACTTGACGTTCTGGCGTTTCGCGAATCGCTGCTCAACGCCGGCGAGTAATGTTCCGAACAAGCGCAAGTTGTAATAATCGCGTTTAGAAAGTATCCTTGCGTATAAGCTTCGAACGCACATCAGTATTAAAAGGATAAATTGATCGGGGCTGAGATGGTTCGGTAAGACAGGTTGAAATAAATTAGGTTGGTAGCGACGCGCGGAACGCCAGCGTCGACGCGTGTTCATGTAACGCATAACAGTTAACGAATTGTACGTATGTGAAAGGAGTAATTTGTAAGGGAGGACAATACCGATTTTACGTTCAGTTTAGCTTGCTAAGTAGTAATATACGCACTCGCAGTGAAAGGCTTTGCTCTGCTCAGGCTATTTCAAAGACGGATTAACGATTGTTAGCTGTTGAAGAGATTCAGTGAAACGGTGAAATTGTGTACAATTTGGATAAATAATACTATTTTTCTTTTCTTTATAATTTTAACCATTTTTCCAACTTAAAAAAAAAAGAAAAAAAGAAACAAATGTCGCTCGTACTCGTGTAGACGTTTGGCTAGTTCATTGTCGTATTAATTTCCGATTGTTTCAATTCCAGCGGTCGAAGTGTTTCGCTTAATTATTAACGATTCTATCGTATCAACACGACGGTCAGAGGACAATAATTGTTAATTAAAGAAAAAAGGAAAAAAAAGTCGTTATAAATTCGGAGGAACGTGCAGCGCATACCTTATCGTTTGAGCTTGCAGATGATCTATATCAAATGTTAACTAGTCGTTTCCGAATGGTAGATTTATCCAGATTAATCATCGGTTATTAGACACGTAAGTAAATAACGATAAAAAGAGAAAAAAAAAACAGATATCCTGGTAAACTTTTCGCCAAGAGAGGCGAGAGAGGGCGTATGCATTATTTGTAACTATAATTATTAAACGCGACGCATGGGAGAGACTGCAATTCATTGATATCTAGTCTTTAATGACGTTTCGTTCTTGTACGAGCTGCAAGAATATGTTCAAACGCTTTGCAAACCGATATATCTAAGACCTAGTTGTAAGTTTTCGTTCGACGCTTTTCTTCGTTTCTTTTCTTTTCTTTTTTTCTTTCTTTTTTTCAAAGAAATCTCACACCGTTGGCGTGAAACGGTCGCTAGTTAAAAAGAAAAAAGTATTCCGCGTAAAATTATTCGTCATAAGGCTAAGAGAACAAAAAGATCTATTTAACTATGTAATAGCATGTAAGACGAACGATGCGAAGAGATGATTATTGATAATTTTACATAAGGCGAACGAAGGATCTAGACACGTAAGTTTCCGTTGAGATTTTTGTCGAGTTTTTAGTTGGAAATTTTTCATCCTGCAAAGGAAATCAGAAGAGTCTATTCTAGTCCTTAGCTTGTAAGACGATCGTATGACATGTCAGGTGTTTATTCACTGGTCATACGTTATGTTAAGTGCTACTTAGGTTAACGATAATCCTAATCGATTTCGCGTAGAAGGAAATATGTCTGGCGACATGCCAAGTAACGTGTAGACTAGAACTAGCGCTATGAATTAACGTCGTCGATTATAGATTGTCGCTCTGATCCGTGTCAATGCGAATATTGAATCAGATTGTTCAGAAAATTCGTAGCGAGAAGACAGATAAGAAAGATTAAATGAAATGACAATCGGATGTTTTCTTGAAAAATGTTCGCCTTCCGCGCCCTCAGTGAGAATTCGTTCGAATAATCCTTACAACGTTTTTGAAACAACGTCTCATTAACTTCTGAATAAATATAGAAGCAAAGAGTATACTCGCAATAATGAGTATACTCTAGTCTCACTGATGAAAAGAAAAATCTACTTTATTAACGAATTCGTTTTGGCATCCAACTACCAGCTGTATGCTTCTCAAATTGGCTTCTCAGATTTCTAAAATAAAAACGATCTACGAACTTTTTGAATAACCTGATCTATATGCAATCTTATACTGTGTTTTAAATTTGTTTTAGTCCAGTCAAAGTCATGCATTATACATCAGACAATACCGCTTAATAGTGCCAGCGAATAACTTTTCCTGAAACAGAGATATTGATATACTTAATTAATTAAATAATCTACAAGACTGCGTAATACATATAAATGTATATCTGTGTGTGTACTTACATAGAAACGTTGCGATCTCGTACTTTGAAACAGTGCAAAGCTTTTCCACTTGCGGACGGTCTGTTTGCGTTGGTACATTAAATGAATTCCCGAGAGGATCTTTCCTCGCGAAAAATTCGTCTCGGGACTTGACGTTTCCAGCTCGTGATCTCAACTGCGTGTAATATCGTACTCATAGTGCGGTATCCAAGGCGGCGAATTTTGTGTATCTAAAGGGAAAGATTCATTTAATAAGCACACGATGCATGTATAGATATATCTTAGGAACGGTATTTAAAATTAGAAGTAACGTGTGACATTGGCAAGCCTATTGATGTTTGAAGAGTGTGAATCTGAAACGATGAACGAATGGACGAAAGCAAATGGGGGAGGCATTCGAATTTTCTTCGTCCCTGCGGGGAGGTCGTACGGTGAAACTTCAATCTTGGACAGAGACAAAATTTCCTTCTCATTTTACTTTACGCGTTGTCGTAAAGAAAATTATTCAAGGTTTATCATCAGACATTCGTCCAATATCACGAAAGTGTATATTTTATCTTCTATCGTCGAGACAAAATTTTCGTTGAAGAATGACTTACTAGGTTATACGTCAAGAAGTTCATCCGGAAACAACAGTTATTTATTTCTCGTATGAAAATGAAGTTCTGTTACTCACGTTGATTCGAAGAGAGTTTAGCATTTTGAAATAGATCTGTAATTGCGAGCAACTGGGTTTCTTTTGACATTATTGTTAGAGGTAGAAACATGTCGATAATGTAGATCCCTGTCGAATCTATACGACCTCCGTTCGTTGTTGCTCCAAAAAAAAAAAGAAAAAAAAAAAAGAAAAAAGAAAAAAAATAACTATCACTATCCCAAGTTAAACTTACTCGCGCGTTTACATGCATATAATTATTAAACTATAGTAGATTTTAGACATAATCCTGTTAACTCGGATCTGTAATGGTTAATTGTAAAGGGAGACATTAGTAGCGTCGTTGTTGTTCTTACAATTATTGCTAAACGAAGGAGAGAAAAAAAAAGAAGTGAAACAAAAATGTTCTGTACAGGTAAAGAGAGTCTGTAAAGTGATTGCAGTTAACCGTGTCGTGGTAAGATCGATAACTAATAGAATTTAGAAGTGAACGTCCGTTGTAGTACGAAACGAGCAATGAAGGAACAAAAACCCCTTGAACATGCATTTTTGCCTTCCCGCGCCAATTTTTCTGGCCGCTACAACAGTGATCGACCGATAATACAGTTTTGTCCGTTTTTATCGATCGTTGAAAAAACGTGGTAAATTTTTTACAAGAGCTGTAACCTATTAACCGTGTAACATATTTATTTTACGTTTACTTTACTTGTGTCATTTCTTCCAGCTATTGATCAACATAATTTCTCAACCTCTTTACCGAGTGCAACATCAACGAAAAACAGAGTCGAGAAAAAACGTCAGTCGTTTACGAAAGACAAAAAAATCTTGGAATACGACAGAAAAAGCTACAGAACACATAACTGCTTTAGTTTGTCACTGGTATTTATATGATTTTATTAACATTTCAGAGATTCCGTTGACGTTTAGTACGATATGCACGAACTTTGATCTCGAAAAGCAATGTGAAAGGAATATAAGGGGGAGGAAAAAAAAAAATGTTTCATTACGATTGTTACGAATGATTTAACGATTGTTACGAATAATTTCTGATGGCATCGAATCTTGAAGTATAAGAAGAAAAAATGATCGAGAGTGTGAAAACATTCCCTGAAAAAAAAAAAGAATCGAGATATAGAGCAAAATAACTCTAATCTCTGATCTGTAATTTATAAATATATAAATATATATATATACAGAAACACATGTATGTAATGTCGTAACGTGTAATTATACGTGTATGTATGATCTGTAATTGTGATCTAATAGTAACCAATTGCGATGTATACAATGTGACAAAAAGAGAAAGAAAAGATGATCAAGGAGGACAAATTTGCTTCTTGATGCATATGTATTATAATTTCGCAAACACACACACACACACAGACACACACACACACATATATATACACACACACACAAAGTGGACAAGAAAATGACAACTTTCGAGAAAAATAGAAACAAGTGTAATACTGTTAGCTAATGGTATTATTGATAAATTATATGTATCAATAAATAATATAACATTGTTTAAGGGATGAAATTGGGTTAACGACGAGTTGACAAATCAATAAGAATCTCATTATCGAGTCGCACGTACATTTATCAATTCAGATTATATTGATACATCGTTCAATTTTTTTTCAAAAAAAAAAAAAAGAAAAGGAATTATTCATCTATCCAGCTTTCATTAAATTTTAATCCAATAATTGCTCATCATAGGCATCTTCATGATATCATCGAATTGTTTGATGCATTGATACACAAGTAGTGACGTATACCACATCACGTTGAATTATAAATTCACATTTCGCAACGTGCCTGTAAAGTTTTCTTTCCATCACGTTAATCAATTCCTTTTCCCTTGACATTGATCGCTCTCGATGCGTCTCATTGGAACAGTTTCATTGTGAATACATTTGATACCTATCAACGCTATAAGTAGAAGAAACGAAGTCTCATAAAGTACATATTAAAAGTTAAAAAGTACCATTAGTTATTAATCAAGAATGTCGTATACAAATGACTGATCATACATTCGTCAAATACTTTTTATTTATCATGCCGCCAAACGGAAAAAAAAGTAAAATCTCTTAAATTCTATGAGTACTATCACATATCACTATTAACAGTTTCGTATAAATAAATAATCATCACATATCATTCGAATATTTCCTGTTGACCACGTTTAATTCAACGGTAGAATATTGCAAGTGCGTACGATGCTGCGCGACGCTTCTCGCCCTCTTATTGGCAGAGTGCGCCAAGCCACGTGACGACCACGGGGACGCGCATGCGCAGTGAGGCGTGCGTTGTGCGGGAAGAGCGGATCGAGCTCCCGCCACCTCTATCGCGGTGACTAGTAGTGTAGCTCAGCTGTTTCTGTTTACTAAACAAAGGAGCCAGAAACCAGTTCAACGGTGGACGGCGAGCGGGACACGTTCGTGTGTCCGTCAGCGACACCACGCATCTTTTCTAACCCATTTTTTTTTTTTTTTGACCAACCGACAGACCGATCTCGCTACATGATCGTAGACGAAAATCGCGAGTGCATCTAACCAGGATATTTCTCCAGGGAGCCTCGTCGATTGCCAACTGACCGGATATCCGAACGATATCGGAGGACCAAAAGCAAAACGAGGAAACAGTGAGTCTGCCTACTCGTACAAAATAACAGTCTGTCGCACGCTTAGTGATCCTTGACCCGATTCTCTCGTGATATTCTTGTACTGCGTCTTCGTTCCGTTCTCATTCAGTCTTTCCAAACTCGTACCCGACGATCGATTCACGCCAGGTAACACGCTACTTGATTTATTTCGTTCCAGTTGTAGTACAAATGTTTCATTAATCCCCGTAACTAGAATCCGAGCTCGAGGTCCCCCCTGTTGCAAGATTCGGACGTGTTGCGCATTGAAAGACTGTACGATGTGTCAAAGGCATAATTGAGATGTAGGTAACTATAGCAGAATGTACATGGCGATCTCTTGTACGTTCTCTTCCGAGGTAATCATTTTTCTTCAAAGATTCCGAAGCAATCGTGCACTCGATGATAGATTCATGGTAATTTTGCTGCGACTTGCTCGAACCTTACATAATCATTATCAGCTGTGTACGCGCGCGCAATCTATTACGCTTCTGAATTGTGTGTTTTGACAGCTGTTAGCCTCGCATTTTCCGGTTTTATTCCGTCGTTTCGTTGTTCTCGCGTCATTTCTTTACTCAGTCCATTCGAGTTTCGATAAAAATCCAAGTGCAAATTCAATACATTGCATCGTGAAATTTGTTAAGGGCTGGTTTAGAATGCGTTAAGGAAAGGCCTGATTTATCGACACAGCGGAGGCAACGACATTGGTCACAGATTATAGGTGTCGTTTAGATATAATGTATTGTCTCAATAAAAATATATAAACGAAAGGTAATTAAGTCACCAGAAGTGAAGAGCAAATTAAAAGTTTCTTTATTAACCTTCAGAGTATATTTCACCAGACACTGAAGTCGAATGATAACAGCGTGAAAAATGATTGGACAAAGAGGAACTAATCGTGAGAATTGCGTCGTTTACTTGTCTACTAGTCTCAAGGCCAACGCAATTGAAAGGAACAGTACTTTATCACGTTCGTTCGGGCATAAGGAAGCGCGAAATTTATGCAGCATTTAAACGGCAGCGTTTCGAATGCAGATTTTACGCTACCAATTTCTCATTCCTTTGATTAACTCGTTGCCCTTCCTATTTGGAAATTATTAAAAGCTACGTATACGATTATCCCAAGACGAGAATTTCTTTTAATCGAAAAATACAACCATTTTGTAGTTTAAATACATTTTTCGATTAAAAACATTGAAAATTAATTAAAATCTGTAGCATGTAGTATGTATATACATACATATAATACAATATGTAGCATATAATTTTAAGAAGACAAACTAGGCAGCTAATGGATCAGTCATGTTTTTAATGCTTAATTTTTCTTGAAAAAAGATTCGTTCATCAACAAAATATACACGACTGAAAGCTTTCTAATTTCAATTGCATTGTGAAATCAATTAAACATTGGCGATAACGCGTCGTTGTGTTTTTGTGAAAAATTAGCCTCTTTGAATGAAAATCTCCGTTTGGAAGAATTCTATCAACTATTTTATCCGCTGTGCTTACGGAACACGCAAATTATGTAAACAAAGGCGATTCAACTCCACGAATAACGCCTGTGTAAAATATACGATTACAGCGAACGCGTTTCCACACCAAAAATATTTCTGTAAATAGATGATTAGAAAGCAGCGTGTTCAGTCATGCTTTATTTAATCAGTTTACGATCTTTTAATTCACTCTCAATTATCAGAAAGGCGAACTTGTCACGTAAAACATATCAATATTATCAGTATCAACGAACGTGTATATATCACGTGTGTATATGAACGAAAATATTTTTCCGTATTTAAAACGCTACGAAATGGGAAATGGTTAGCATATTTATATTCGTTGGTATAAAAATATCAATTTTGTTTCATTTTATTATCTTTCATCTATCGACAAATCTCCTAAAAATTTTTTTCCACGAATGATTTTTCCAAATAGACGAATAATCATTTTTTTTTTTTTTTTTCGTTATTTTACGTTAATAATGTTCTCGCTGAATGTGTTTTTATATCTTCAGTCGCCGTTTAAAATCGAAAAATTCCTTTACAGTGAAAAAGAAGACGAGGACAAAATGTACTAGAGTTTCGGAGAAAGTGAGATTCCGCTTATCGGGGAAGCTTCCAATTTGAAATGATCACGGAGATTCAGGGAGATTGTTTTGTTCACATTAAATTGTTGAGCCATGTCGTGCGAGCGACCAACCATCGTGAACCATCGCCGTCAGTTCAGAAGGGAGAGGCCCTGATACCAATGAAACGCGCATATACATACAAACTCTTGCACGACCGGTGTATCAATGTGTCTCTCTCTCTCTCTTTCTCTCTTTCTCGGTTTTCACACACACGTCGATAATTGCCGCTCACCGATGCGAGACACGCTCTTAAAAGCCGAGAAATGAACAAAGAATAGGTGCATTGCGCGCATAGAGTTTCCCAATCTCGTGCTTCAGCGTGTGTGTTACGATTCAAAAGAAAAAAAAAAAAGAATGATGATACTCCTTAATATTTTTTAATATTTTCTAGAAGGTGATGAGTAACGAAAGCGATTAAATATATCTTTATGATTCTTCTCGTTGACTAATTCAATTAACCTTGAATTATCTGTATGAATAATTATATAAAGTATTATTATCGTTTCAATGGTGAAAATACATATACACGTGGCAAATAAACGATTTAATAGGACAGAAAGAAAACGGGTTGGGAAACGCTGACGTGTATTCTCTTGACACTGCTTGGCACTGCGTGTGTTACACGATGCAGAGATAGATCTGCTAAGCGTATATCGTAAATACATTGATGTAGAGGTGTATTGCTGTAAGTGCGTGGCTGATATATCTATACACGTGCATAGTGCGGGCAGAATGAACGGCAACCTTGGGCAACCGAGTAATATTCCGAGAAGCGGGAGAGCATTTGCGCAGTATGTATACCACCAGCCAGCAGCGACTTTCGTCGATATTTCCTTCTACTAGCTTCGTTCTTTCTAGCTTTACTCTTTGAGCAAAGAATAGATCACCATCATCGATTTCCGCAGTAACTATTTGAGTATAGCCGAACACGATCTTATCTTTCTCTCTCTCTCTCTCTCTCTCTCTCTCTCTCTCTCTCTCTCTCTCTCTCTCTCTCTCTCTCTTCGTTACAAAAAAAAAAAGAAATTATACAATGTTTCATCTCTCATTTTTTATCNTCTCTCTCTCTCTCTCTCTCTCTCTCTCTCTCTCTCTCTCTCTCTCTCTCTCTCTCTCTCTCTCTCTCTCTCTCTTCGTTACAAAAAAAAAAAAGAAATTATACAATGTTTCATCTCTCATTTTTTATCCCGCCCCCGGCTAGAAAGTATCGTTCACCATTTATCATTTCACACCGCTTCAATGAAAATCATTGTGGAAAAGTTATGGGAGAAATGGAACCAATTTCGAGTTTGTTTCCGCTTCATATCTCTCGCGGTAACTTTCTAAGTCTTGAAAATTACCTGTCTAAACAGGAGGAAGTAATACGACTATTATTGGCTACAATTTATTCCTTGCGATATTCCTGTGCCTAAAACAGAGAAAAGGATCAAAGTAAATTGAAAGCGAAGCGTTTTGATTGACGCAGAGATTCGATTCTCAGTACATTTTGAAGTTCGATACCTTTCTCCTCGAAGCTAATCACTTGTTGGAATTCACGCGCGAAACGGTGCCTGTCTTTCCAACTGACCCACTACTCGGACAGCTTCTGCTTGACATTTCGTAATAGTCGTGTATATTTAGCCGTTACCACGTGTAGAGGTAACGCGCAAATTTCTCTAATATCCAGAGAGCAAACGGTTGTCAGCTGTTTTAGTTTAACTTATTAACGTCGTAATCGTTTTGTTCAGTATTTCCAGTATTTCGCGATATATTATATATATATATATATATATATATATATATATATATATAATGTTTTAATTTAATTCTTTTATTTTTAGTTAAAATTTTGAACACTTGAATTTCTGAATATTCGAATATGCATTGTTGAACATTTGAATGTTTAAATTCAATAAATTCTTCGTAGTTCTTACAGTCACCGCCAGAGGGACAAGATACGCACGCTGCGTCAGCACTTCAAATATCGTAAAGCTAACCTTTCTCTTTTTTTTTTTTAGACGGTTTTTGGTTTGCTCCTCAAACTCACTCCTTGCAATTCGTACGGTTAATTTTACGAGCGCAAATAAAATCAGGTACACATAAAATCATCGGCCCGAGGAGAAAGCAACGAGTGTTCGTATTTAGCATTGTTACCCCGCTCCGACTGTTAGACTAGTTAACAAACGAGTTGCGACTGCGTGATGCAACCCGAGGCATTGTGTATAACCTCACTAAAATCGGTTTGTATATTGGTTGCTAACTCGCGCGTTTCGTTGTACTTACTATCAAGATTTCAATATGAAATCATGCTTTTGAAAATTTCCTAACGATACAACGAATTATTTCCAGACTTTGATCGAACAAATGAGCCGTTCCTGACCTATGTTTCCTAATCCTGCCCGAAACGGAAATACCGCGAGGGATCTTCCCAAGCCATCCAAGGGTATCCAGTGATTAATTGCATCGACTTGTTGTTCCGATTCCCCGTGCAATCGTCAGCTATGGCAACGCGAAATCTTACGCACCACGTTCGCATTTAGGACGTTAGACTCGAATGCTTTAAGATCACACTTGAATCGAGGATCTTGAAAACATTCAGATTAAACGGTAACGTCTACGTTCAACTAACTATTATACTATTATAACTTTATAAATTTGCAACGCTTTAACGATTCAGAACCAGTATAATACCAGTCATCTATAGTATTGCAGAGATAAATACTTGAAGCAACTTTGACTCGTCCTCTACAGCTTCGATCCTCGTGATGTAACGTAACCAAAATATTCTATATCAATACGGACCGAAGATATAAAATCAATCTTGAGTATCCTCAACTATTCGTCAATTATATGCAGTATCTGTTAATTGCAATTATATCCAGGCTTGCCATATATATTC